TGTACGGCAGTGAAGCATCGGTGTTGAGCACTGATGTCATGCTGTCGTTGATGATGATGATGATGATGACTCACACGGCCGACTGGATGATCTGTCTAACTGCAAATAATTCGGAGCATGAGAGGGACAGTTCTTATGTGAAATCCCACATGTCGTTACATCTGTTCCTGATGCACAGAGACCGCTGAGGGATCACAACACATATCAAGAACGCTTTCAACGCCTATCCCTTGTAGGTTGTGGAGTAGCTGCATTGAGTACCTACCATGCTGTGGAAACTGGAATGGACTCACGTTCACTAAACGCCACAAGAGATCAGACCAACTTACATTGCTTATATGATTGGCAACCGGTTTGTAGTTTCTAACAGGTTCGTATAAAAGTCGAACTTCATGCTTCGGGCGATTGATTTCTTTCATCTGCAGAAAGGACAAGGGAGTGGAGAAACAAGACGAAAATAGGACTGAAACAGTGTTAGCAACGGGCCAAAGGATTACTGTAGGTGATGGAAGTACAAAATGAATCGTGCTTTGTAGGTTAGGTACACTGCCTGGAAATTCCGTACAGATGAATAAAAAAAGTCGTCCAACTTTGCTTGGATCTTGACAATTTTCAGCCAACAGTGCCTCTTTGAATTTGAAGCTAAAAGCCATACTAAGGGGGTTTGAAATTCCTGATCCAGCAGTGTATGAACTCCGTACTTGTTACGTAACAGCTTCCAAGCCTGGCGGTGAGAACGACCCAGGGTCAATCGTATTAGTACTTTTTCTGGTTTGCGTCCGCAGACCTCAACAGATAAGGACGAAAGTTTTGAGATGTCGCTAAAGATTACAGTCCACGGTCAAGGAACACAGTCATCGACATGGGAATAGCAGGTATGAGTTTGATACTTGTTGTCTTGACGCGCAGGGCGTTGGTCTGAACCCGTCAGCGACATGAATTTCAAGCGTTCAGGAGGACAATAGATATGATGGATATTCAATCGTAAGTTCAGCTGTGCTGCCCATCGTGGTCGGACGAGGATACAACCTATTTCATCGGTTTTCTTCATCATTTGGAAACTGCCACAGAAATCGAGCTCTGTCCAAGGCATCCGTTTTCGATTGATATCCAGTCGTATGTTGTTTTTTTTCGTTTACATGATAGGGCTCACGTCCCTCTCGTTTGAACAGTTTTCCGCCTGTCCTGCTAGGTCCAACGTGGGCTGACGAAGTATTAATAAAACGCTCGCCTCGCATGCCAGATGTCTGGGGTTCGAACCCCGACACGACCAAGGAGGGGGGCGAGATGGCTCCAGTGGTTAGAGCGCGAATTTACTGACCGGAATGTCCGTGGTTCGAACCAGACCTCTGCCTCTCGACTTCTCCTGTCTAGGCTTGGGCAACCTGGCAGTATCCCAGCCCTCATGTTTCCTTCGGGTGGCATGGCAGCTAGGTACCGAGAGGGTGTTACAACGATCCACGGCCAAGGATTTGCACTGCTGATAAGCAGTACACTTTATTCCCAAACTTATATCAGTGTAAGGGTTCACAACGAACTATCCAGAAGTTTCCATACAACTAAGAGGGTTTAACCTCTCACTCTCTCCACTCCAGTTTAAAACTGACGTCGACATTTTCATGGACTACGAACTTCCAGAGATCGAAGTTCTTACTATCGAAATCAAATCTAGAGAGTCTAAAAGGCTTAAACCACGCGGACAACATTGTCTTGCTATTTGACGATGATCAGTCCCCACAGTCTACCGTAGATGGAATTCCCGTATGCGCTTCATGCCTTCGAAGTAAGGATCTGAGATTTTTGGTCCTGCTATACTGATCTGAGACTGCAGGGAGAGGAAATCGCGCTTGTTGACCAGTTTGTCTACCTAGACAGCTGGATAACCCGTGGCTGTACTATAACAGAGAAGTCGATGCATTACCAAGGCGTGAGCAATATATGCGTCATGGCGTCATAAACGAATCGCATCGAAGCTGAAGGGACTACCGGAAGAGCAGTCACGCTCCGCGGCTTCTCCGATCCAAGGATATTGTATAAATTCAAGTGTTTGATCACCGTTACCTTCACAGCGATGAGGAGAGGACATTAGCTGGCAATAGTGAGTTCGTAATGAAATTGTGCGCGAGCGAGTATGTGGTGGTGAATCAGAATAATTAGAACAGCAATTAAAACTAGTCAAGCGGAGGTGGCTGGGACATGTATCAAAGAAAGCAGTATTTTACAAATCTGAACTTTTGTTGGCAAAAGGCCCGAGGGGATATTCCATGATTTGGAAATGAATCCGCCTTCCTGATTGGAATACGCGTGAGTCCCCTTACACGCGGTTAGAGACCCTACATGACATGATAAATAATAGGTCCTAGTGGAGATCAGGCTGCCTAGCTAGAGCTAGTCTGTCGTTCTTTGATGGGATCATGGCAAGTGACGTCCGCAAAGGAAGTTGGGTTAGTTCCACTTACTTCTTACTTCATTGTGATTCTCAGATGAGTTACCTCGCCGCTGTCCTGGATATTTTATTCTTGATCATATTCCACAGAAAGATAAAGCTGCCCCTTCCCTTCTTTCTCCTGGTTACTGGAACACTTTTTATCATGACTGAATGGTGATTGAACACCAGTATTTTTTACTGGTGCTGTCGATGAGGATGATGATGCAGACGACCGTATTTCGATTGGTACCACATCGGTTTGACACTTAACTGCGACAGGACCTCATATGGTAAAGTGCAGCTAAGTGGCATGAGATGGGCCTTCATGGGTATGCTTCAAGACCCAACATTTAGGACGACGGGTTATTTGGCTTTATAGTTTCACTGGAGACCTCCAAACAAGTTTTCAAACAAAGCAAACGATCAGAAAAGTTCAGACTGCCGCAGAAATGTGTATGTGCAGGACTAAGTACACCTTTGGCAAATGGTGCAGATACTTTTAAGTAGGTATTTGCTGAATTCCAGACTTTCCAGAAGGACTCTATCCAATAGTCTGTGTGCAGAGACGGATCCGAAAACCTAACAACAGGTTCGCGTAACCTCTTCTATGAGGACATCGCCACAAGAGACAACAAGATAACTTTAGTGATGGGAACAACGCCTCATCCCTGTTTCCGAACGCAACCCACAACACTTTTGTATGACACCACACATATGTTCATCGTCCAGCTGTAGCACCTTTCGATGCCTATCTGCCATATCACACAAGGAGGCAAAAGGGCTGGGATACTGCCAAGTTGCCTAAGCCTAAACAGGGAAGTCGAGTGGCAGAGGTCGGGTTCGCATCACGGACCTTCCGGTCAGTAAATTCACGCTCTAACCACTTGGTCCATCTCGCCACCCATATGTTCGTACTGGAGCCCACTTTCGAAATCTTCCTGAGTTGTTCGGATTTAGAACAACCTTTGTCTTTATTGAGGGCAGTTCTCACTTGTGGATGGACCGACTTGAAGAATGAAAGTACATGCAACTTTCCTGCGATTGAGAAAACATGCCTTTCTGGCCATCACAGTCCTGAGGGATAGAACATACCTGTTGTGCCTTTAGCATCATGTACCGCGTATTTGGAGGCGGTCTGCATTCAGCTCGGCTATTCACTCGTCCAAATAAGGAAAGACGCCGGGAGTAACGGGCGGACGAGGAATTGGAAAAAGGCGAGGACGGACGGGCGGAAGAAGTGTCTGTTTCTGAATTGCACACTGTGCCAGTGCCAGATGGACCAGCCATCGCCAAATCGTCCTCAGCTAAGATGATCAGCTCTTGACCAGACAAAGCGCTCACACGACGTTGAGACGACTGACCAGGCCGACCACTTGCCGCGGAGGACGTCGACGCGGAAGTCTGAATGAAGAATTGATGTTCCTACAAGTAAAAATAAATAGACAAAACAAAGCTGGTTCAGCTGTGCTCACGTGCTGCGTTTCGAGGAGAAACAAGATACTACCAGGCTGCCAAGGCCTAAAGAGGAGTAAAAAAAGCCAGAGTTTGGTTTGAACAGAGATTTTGGTCAGTATCTCCTTACGTTGACGGAGCTACCTTGACCTCATTTTCTACAAGCTTATTCGTACAAACAAATGGGTACGGCAGAGGACAATGTGGACGGCATAATGTTGATAGTAAACCGTATGATAGATAAAGGAGTACTTCCAGGTTCTCCAGCCTTTAGGAGATGAAGGCTAAAACTCGAAAGGCACACTGAGGCCCGATCAACTCACCTTCAAAACAAAGTGTTGACTGAACAAGACTAGTAGACACCCGTTGCTTTGTTTGATGAGTTAGGCGGCTTGAGGAAACTTACGGCAAACCGTCGTTGAGGTTTCAGACATTGGGCTCACCCACCTTCTTTAGGAAATCCAAACAGGGCAGTAACTATCCCCACCTTTTATCCATTTTACCCGCATTGCAAACTATGGAGTGTGCACGCTGTGTATTCTCACCCTGGCATTTAGGGGTTTGATTGAAACTGAATAGTGGAACCCTATGTTGTTGTAAACTCTCTAAAAAATTCCACAGAGTGTACAAAGCCCTGCGGTAAACTTACACAGATCAAGGGATTAGTGAACTAACTAGCAGTATATAATGCTCATATCCCAAAAAGGGTGAAAACCTTGTCAATATTCGCAGTAAAATGGTCATGAGAATGCATGCTCAGATCAGTGGCCTGCACATTTCAACAAGAGAAAATGTCCCCCTTTTGGTCAGGTACCAAGAATAGAACAGGGAGCAAGGTCTCCATGCTACGGCAGCGCCATGAGTGCACCCATATTACGCCCAACCCTCATGAGGCATTAAAACGATACTGCAATCTCAGTCAGACACGTACCGCCAAAGACTAGACGACTAGTGCACAAGCGGAACCCGAGGCAACCTCAGATTACATAGTCCGTCTCGCATTGACGACTTACTCCATACATCGGCGAGAAGTGGCTACTTTTGATACCGCCCTTCGCTCCCTTGCAAATTTCTCCTCTTTCTTCCAAACCACATTCGACACGTAAGAAGCAATGACTCCATCCGAATCGATATTCCGTAAGGCGTGGTCTCTACGCACATTGAAATCAATCTCCGATCCCGGGGCGAAGTCATGCAGTTGTGCTTAAAGTTCACACTCCGGAACACGCTGGACAGCAGGAACCTGCAGGTCATCTACCGGGGATGACTCACCATCGATGTGCGTTCCCTATTTGAAACTCAGAGACGATATCCGACTACCGTTGTCAAATTAACCGCTCCATCAGTCACTTTTCGCCTGTAGTAATCCAGGGACCACTGCAACAGGTATCGTTTTCAAGTACAAAGATCGGTTTCACTGGGTATTCGCAAACATCCATCCCCGCACATTTTGTTTGTCGACGCCTGCGAAGACATTCCGCGAACGTGTTGATGATCGCTGTTTTGCCATTCTTTTCATACACCTGTCTGATAGTCTCAGGGCCGAGATGGACCAAGTGGTTAGAGCACGAATTTACTGACCGGAAGATCCGTGGTTCGAACCCGACCTCTGCCTCTTGACTTCCCCTGTCTAGGCTTGGGCGACCTGACAGTATCCCAACCCTTGTGCCTCATTCGTGTGGCATGGCAGCTAGGCACCGAAAGGGTGCTAGAGCTGGACGATTTTTTACTGATAGTCTAAAAAGCAGCGTTCGCTACTCCTTAAGCGCTCTATCGCAGTAGACTGAAGGCGCACGTATTGTTGTGGGCATGAAGGATATGGACTTAGTGTGGAAAGGCCTGTTTCCAAGGCGAACTATCAAGAAATAGGTGCTCGTTCACCTGTGGGATTCCTCCGGTGCATAGCTACTGTAAAACTCGAAGGAAGCACGGGGGTTGAAGCACTGCCAGGTTGCCTGAGTTTAGATGCGAAGATGCCTAAACCCTCGAACAGTAATGAGAAAAAGTCTGTTTAGCATCATGTCGCTGATGCTATCAAAAGGATCAACCCAGTTTACAAACACGCGCACTGCAATCCAGAGAGAGATTCCGACAGTCGTAGAAAGCTGTAGGTACTCCAAGGAGTGCATTAGTTTTGATGGCATCGTGACAGATGAATCGTGAGTCTCAAAGGCCAACTAGGGTGTCAAAACGACGTACCTGAGGGTCGCAAGGACCGCATGATAGAATACGAGTGTGCTGTGGTACGGTCACCGGTCAGCACTGTCGGCGAGGGCCTGAGACACTTTCATTCATTTATCATTCAGTGCGCCAACAGCGAAGATGTCTCTGAGGGTCGCAAGGACCGCATGATAGAATACGAGTGTGCTGTGGTACGGTCACCGGTCAGCACTGTCGGCGAGGGCCTGAGACACTTTCATTCATTTATCATTCAGTGCGCCAACAGCGCACTGAAGATGTCTCCTCGAATGGTGACGAAACGTTTGCAAATCAATTGCCAAGTTCGGCGAACAGATCAACAGCCACCTGATCAATTACCAATACAGTAGTATGCCCCATGAGCAACAATTTAGCCTGAAACCTCCCCTTAGAAGAGAGATCACCCGCTAAACCACTTCGGAAATCCCCTGTATCAGTGTAGGGAGAATTACTACAACTGACGAGAATAAATTGCCGTAACTCCCAGGTAAAATCAAGGAGAACGATGTGAACAATGGAGAGCAGACGAGTAGCAACAAAGCGTCTGTTTAAACGAAAGGGCTAGACCTCAAAGGTCACTCACTTTTGGTATGAGGTCGCCTGTTTCACCGGCATGTGCCAAGAGATCCGGATCAGTGACTAGAGTGACTTGGGAACCTACAGGTCGTCGGTTTCCTTCAGCTTGGCCAGGTGCAGGTGAACTGGCAATTACCACTTTCCCTCCCTCCCCGTCTGGCCCAGATTTGCGCCACAGTTCTGCCAGATATTTCGGCACTTTTACCAACCAAACACCATCCTTTGCGCGGCTAGTGTCCACCGAATAAAGAGCATGCGCATCAGTAAAACAGTCAGACCCTGTCTTCGGGCGTGACATCCAGATATTTCTTCGAATGAATTTTCAGAACAAACGGATAGCACGATCCGTGAAGCAACAGGTGATTGTTCAAGGCCTCAGGGCTATGGGAAAATCGGGAGTGAAATATGTGAACACAAGAGGGATAACACATTAGAATGGGGTAAGTTAGACCGCATCATCTTTGGAAGAAAAAGACAATTAAGATGTTAATAAGCACCCAAGTAACTGCTTACTGTTTTCCATCTTACCCTATGAACTTCAGTTGCCCCTTTCATTTTACGTTACCGGTGCATGAAGGTCACCACAAGCCGAATCAACGTATCCTTACAAGGTTGAAAAACTGAGCGGGGTGTCTGACCACTGCTCTCGCGGTTATATGTGAAGTGGCTGATTGTTGGCTGGCTTTTGACCATCGGTTTGCCGGATAAGTGATGGTTCGGCTTGCGGCATTTGTGCGTGAATGTTCCGTGTGCGAAGTGGAAGTGCAATCCAACACCAAACGTGCAATCTGGAGGTAGACTGTCAACTCGGAAAGCTCGACAATCATTCCACTAGGTTACTGTCTATATTTAATCTCGATACAATTCTTGTATACACGGTTGATTGGGAGACGATATCCTCCGGGTGACACAACGGTGTCATCATCACCATCACCCTTACCATCAAGAACATTAATCAACCGGTAGTAGAAACTGGAGCTTAAATATCATGCACTTACGGAGGAAGAACACACCAGTGAAATATGGAAAGAACGAGGGGGTTGATTGAGTACAAGGTTCAAGCCCATACGATAGGAGTACCCTCACAATTGTTTTGTAGACAGTCCTTTAGCCTCAGAGAAAATTGTTTCTGACACCAAAGAAAACAGAATCTAGCGAACGTGGCTAGTGTCATTATGGTGTGTGCGTTGACTTTGTCTGTCACAGTACAGTAACAATTTACGCAGATGCCAAGATAAGTGAACTGATCGACAAAAACAAGCTACTCATTCTGAAGTTTCAACGAAGGTGCGCAGCACTGAAGCAAAACTTTGCACCTGAAGATACAAAACGCACGCCAAAACGAGGGGCTATCTGCGAAATTCCATTTGAGGAACCTAATTACCGGTCTTCTCGTTCCGGAACAGAGAACAGTTTCGGGCTGTAGTCCATCTTCGTTATGTGGCTCGCTAGCACCTAACTTCTATATGGTACTGCTTACCTAAGGCATTCTCCACAGCATTTGAATCGTATGCAGGGGCTTCTCAACAGGGACCACCATAAGACCTGATGAAAGCGATCGCTTATCAAGAAGAAGGACCACATCCGAAGGGTCGAAAAAAATTCATGGTTATATGGGGCAGCTGAATAGCTGTTTAGTCAGATATTTATAAAGTCTATTGCTTATTTCTGTTTTGTTTATCTATTTTATCATCGCTATGTGCTGCCAAGGTCAAGTCATGTTGGTTTCTATAAGAGCGCCGGGCTAGCTACAGAAAAAGCCACCACCATAGGCCGGGAACCATACGGAATTTCCTATACCTAATTGTAAATTCAAACCGTAATTCATTGCTCCTATTTTGCCGCAATCTTTCACTCACAACAGATACACTTAAGTTCCAGGCCTAGTGTAGAAGAGTAATCTGAATGTATTTGATTGCAATTCACTGAGTTCAGTGTCTAATATCAAGTCAAAGCTTCTACTGACTTTTCGTAGGCACGACTGCCTGAACGATGTGATTTTCACTTTGCTGAGTTAAAGTCACTTGGTTAAAAACTTTCCATCGTCCCAAAATCAGCAGAGGTTGACCAATATGCAACTCGATCGGCGCAGGCCACAAAGCAATGGTGCTTCAAAAGCTCACAAAGCTCGTAACTATCAAAGGTATAAGTAAACATTTTTAACGTAAAGCAGGACGGAAAGCAACGCAGGTTGAGCATAAGTCTCTATAGGTCTGCTGGGCTGAACAAGAGTAGTGAGGTATATCTACCACCCTCAACTTTACCGCCTCAGTTAAAATATTTCGATGTCAACTAGGAGAACGACGAAATTCCGCACCGAACCCAGTTCGGGTATTATTAAGAGTGAGCACCGCGTGGTGTAAAATATGGAAATTTTTAAAGTAAAAGCAGCGCAGTAACTAGAGCGACTGGACCTTATCGTGGTGTGACGGTTTGCGTACCTCCGCGACATACTGAGATATACTGCGTGGTGTCCGTGCGACAATCACAGTCTCTCATACCAGGTTAGTCAATGGGTCAATGGTAGAGGTCCGATTAACACAGTTTACTGGCTCTCCAGGTTGGGGGTTAGAACATATGTGGCGACTTGTTCTATAAAATGGTTGTGCACTTGTGTTTTCCGCCAAACACCGCTGCTCATCGGTAAGGCTTTTGGACCAAAGACTTTGGCAGACACCCTAATCGTCCTCATGTCTTGGTGTGGGCACGCTGATAGTATTCCTGCCCACGTACAAATATGACACCTACAACTAACAATACTCTCACCATATTGGTGTATTTGCTGCAGACAGCAGGACTGGTACGCGAAAACATGTTACTGCTGGCGCCCCCATTCTCGCGCCTTCAAATATTCCTTTTTCTAACCTACCACACTCGAATTCGAACTCTCCACAGATTCCAGTACCAGAACTGACAATTTTGCTTGCTTTGGATCACAGTCAGCTGATTTCCTACTCAGCTTTCTCACTGCATCTTGACCGCTCTCGTCTGAGATTGGGCAACCTGGCAGTATCCCAGTCCTCGTGCTTCCATTCGGTGGAATGGCAGCTAGGCGCATAATGGGTGCCAGAGCTGAACGAATATGGAGTTACATTAGTGCCCGAGTGTATATCCCGACTCACGCATAAGGCCTCTCGTCCCGCCGACCTATCATCGGTCCTGTCCAAAGACAATCAGTATCCGTCTAGCCGTCCAACAACAACTGTCCGCACTTATATTAAATGTAGCATTCGTGGAAGCGTTGGCTTGAGTCCACATGCAATAAGGCCTCTGGCGGAGCACAAGACCTTAAACAGTGGACACTAAGCTGAATTTCGACAGGGTAGAGGCTAGGCCGACCACAGCCTCACTCCGTCAGCTGTTGGGGCAACGCCATATACACAAGCGACCTGCAAGCGTCGTGTTACTGTCCCTATTCACTGAGGCTCACAAAGCGAGCCTCGTGATGGGCTAACGACCTGCTATGTCACCGAAAAAATTGTCGGACGCATCTTGACTAGGAATGGAGACGGCGTCGTCATTTCTTTCCGGCTAAAGGGATAGTTCCCGCAGATAGGGAAGGCTGAACAGCTCCGTAAGGGGCTATGTTATACCAAAGAGCAAACTAGTCTAAAACAACCTTAACCAGAGAAAGGGCAAGAGTACTTTCGCCATGCTCATACATCGGCCACAGAACTATTCGCAGGGCCACACCAGGATCTTAGCGGCGCGGCTAGAAGCGCCGGACTAGGCCACGATTTTCATTGCTCCATATTCTGACCAATCAGGGCATGCCTATTTCTGGCCTGCTTTCGGCTCGCCATGCGTCCTCACATACATCGCTTTCGCTTCGAAGCGGACCAAAGGTCTTTTGAAACCGCAAGGGGCCAAAGATGAATCTTCGTAAAGTATCGTATCATTTTACCTCTATGGGACCCTAAGATCGCGACTGCAGTTTTGAGCAACCAATAGACTGCAATACTGGGACTGAAAATCACGCCATAAACTCCCGGGCTGGCTTGTTCATCATCATCATCAAACATAAGCTTCCTCTCCTCTGAAAGCCGAATGCTGAAAAGGCATATAGTGCCTCTTTTTAAGTTCTCAGCTCTGCGGGTACGCATCCGTACGTGGTGAATGTTTCGCTGATTCACGGATTCATGAGCTGGTTCATCAAAATCCACATCGCCCTGAGTCCTGTTTCGTTCTGAAAAACCGTGGGACGAAGATCGCTATGCGCATGTGCACAAAGATGAGAAAAGCTGTTTTCTTATACAGGGATGCACCCTGAAGTCGAAAATTTTCTTACAACATCCCCGCCAATTATTATCTGGGTAAACGGTAGAAAAACATGGTGCTCAAACAGAACATACGCAGTAGGTAAGCTAGGAGGCGACGAGACTCTATGGGAAAGAGTTTT